GAGTAGACAAATCCACTGAGGCAGAAAATAGGGGTTGCACAGGGCAGGGGGAGCTTCCAGGTAAATGAGAAGTGATTAATGGGTATAGGAAACCTACTGCAGACCTGTTATGAAATGGAAGATTCCTCGTGGATATAGGAATTTCTTTATGGAGTGATGAAAATGTTCTGGAATTGACTGTTTTGCACAATTCTGTGAATATACTAAAAACCATTGACTCTTACGCTTTAAATGGGTGGATTTTATGGTTTGTGAATTAGATCTCAATAAAGCTGTTATATGAAAAAATAATGAGGGAGACTGGGTGTGGAATATAGGGGAACTCTACTGTTTTTGTATTTTTTATGCAAATCTAAAACAGTTCCAAAGTTAAAAGTTTAGTTTTTAAAAAATTATAGATGAAGAGAATAGAGACACCCTTGATTTACTGGCTTCTCAGGACGCAGACCAACCCCTCGGTCCCAGGCAGCTAAAGAGGAAAAAAGGGAGCGTGTAAACCAGGGACACGGCTCTCAAGCTCATGTTCCAAAGGGAGGGCGCGTACGGAGCCCAGGTAAACCAAGAGGAGGAGACTCAAGCAGCCATAGTCTGTGCGTATAGTACCTATGCAAAAACAATGCTACAGGAGAAAGGGCAGGAAGGAAGGACTCCAAGAAGGAAGGAAAGGGAGAGAGGAAAAGAGCATGCAGAAGAAAGGTGGGGTATGCATTTTGGAAGATATCCCCGGGAATAGAATTATTATATTCATTATAATAACATTGTACAAGTAATGTACAATGTACAAGCCTTCCCCTCTGCCTTTGCTGAAATGGGTCTCCAGCCTATTCCCATCTGTTTAAGTGGAATGGGTGGGGCGCGGAGTTCGTGGAGCCAGCAAACTGGCGGGGAGAAGCTGACTGGTAAGTGTGTCCTTAAGCCAAGAGTCCTGGGGTGCCTCTCTCCAAATGGCAATCCTTTTAGTCACGGTTTCCCACGATGTGGTAAATATACTCTGGTGGTCCAACAGATGAACTTAGGTGGCACGTGGAAGAATGATTTAATTTAATACATTTATATTTATTTTCATGTGTTTGAGAAACTTTTACAAATAACACATTAAGACCATGCCATAGGTATACTTGAAAGAGAAAACCTGCCTTCACTATTCATGCAGAGGAGCCGAGGATAAGAAGGGAAATTCCAGGGCCTGGATTTAGGAAAAACTTAGGAGTGAGCCAGCAGTGGCCACAGTGCCCTGACACCCAGCAGAAGTCGAATGGGGGCCGAGTCACTGAGACAGAAAGTGCCAGTAAGCAGAGCACAGAGACTGCAAAGCCAGACAGACGGAGGGCCACAGCCCCCTAACCGGCTGGCCTTCAAACTGCACAGGATCAGAGGGGCACAGATGGCCCGGTGCAGGTGACGCGGAAGGCAGGCCCAACACCATTGGCATTTCCAGGAAGGCCAGTGACAACTCTGACCAGTGCTTTTCAGATGTCTGAAACCTTCAAATCCCCCTGCTGGCGGTCCCCCTAGGGTTTAGCAATGACTCTCTTCAAACATGGAAAGAGGTTGCAGCCCTGTTGGGAGACTCTGAGGAGGGCCAGAGAGTTAAAGCCGACCATGTGCTCCATTTCCAACAGGTAGGGAGGAGGAACTGGGAGGAAGAGGAGGTGATGTGGCTGGAAAGGAGAGAAGAGCCCATTTCTTTGCCTGGAGACAGTAGCTTTTGGGGTGTGGCCTGCAAGGTGGCAGAGTATCAGAAAGACCACTGACTGGGGAGCACCAAGGCCCTGGGCTTGAACCCACTACTGATTGGCTGTGTGAACTTTGACATGTCACTGTAAAATGTGCATATTCACATCTACCTTATGAGTTGTCATGAGCATTGAATGAGGTCAAGTTATCCCATATAACCGTAGTTTAGCCATATTTTTTTTTCAGTAGCTTCCCATTTGCATATCACTGTGTTTATTTCCACAGCGTTTTTGTGTGTGCATGGTTCAGCTCAGTCTCCTTATCTTTCTTTCTCCCGATAGACTGCATGGCTGCTGAGCAAGATCTGTTTACAGTCTACCCTCAAAATATAAAGGTGAGAAGCCAGGATCTAGAACAGCGGTTCTCAACGTGTGGTCGTGACCCCTTTGGGGGTCGAACGACCCTTTCACAGGGGTCGCCTAAGACCATCGGAAAACACATATTTCTGATGGTCTTAGGAACCGAGACACGGCTCCTCTATCCGTCTCCAGGCGGGTCCGCCCACGTGCAGATATGCCCACACACAACATGAGGAACTGTGTTAAAGGGTCGTGGCATTAGGAAGGTTGAGAACTACTGCTCTAGAACATCTGGTCTTTAAGTGCAATGACAATGGGTGCAAAGGCCAGGCAGTGATGAGCATTTTGCACAGAATTGCAAAAGCAAACAGGAGACAGAGAATGCAAAATAAATCAATTGGATGAACTAGGCAAAAAAAATCATTTTGAAGGATAAACTAGGCAACTTTGATGAGAGTTACACTTTATGGAATAAGAAAATGGTGAGAAGCTGCAATGGTAAATGTTAATCTCATGGCCGTATTTCCTGAAAAATTTAAGGTGAGGTAGAAGGATTACCCAGAGCCAGGGATTTTGTGCGAACAAGTATGGTTTATTTTGGAAATAGGTATCTTCTAGAATTTTTTTTTGCTGTGTGGGTTCTTAAAAATTATTTGTAGTGGAAGAGGGGTATATTTTCATAACCACAACTGCCAAGGGGCAAGGACCCTTGTTCATGTTCAGCTCAGCCTCTTAATGGGGCTGGACAGGCCAAGACGGGGTTGGAGATTTGGGAAGAGAGGTTGGAGGAAGCTAAACTATTGCACTGATAGAAAAAATAAATAAATGTGGGGGGAATTTTTGACATGTTACAAAACAGATGAGCCTGGAAGGCACTATGCTAACTGAGATAAGCCAGACACAAAAGGACAAATAAGTAGGATTGTATGATTCCACTTACATGAGGCATCTAGAGTAGTCAGATTCACAGACAGAAGGTAGACTGGAATTTGGCGGGGTGTGGGGGGAGGGGAGAAGAGGGAGTTCTTGACTAATGGGCAGAGTTTCCGTTTTGCAAGATAAAAGTTCTGCAGGTGGATGGTGGTGATGGTTGCACAGCAACGTGAATGTGCTTACTACCACTGAACTGCACACTTAAATATGGTTAAAATGGTAAATTTTATGTGATATAAAATTTTATGTGATATTTGGCCACAATAAAAAATGAGAAAAAAAGATAAAATAAATGTGAGCTTTCTAGGGGCAAACTGCTGTCAGAGGGGGGACAGGGGAGGTGAGAGCCAGCAGTATGGCAAGAGGCTGCCACCAAGGACACATCCCCAGGGGAGAGAGGCCAAGGACTTTGAAAAGCAAGGCTGTTTAATACTGACCATGAAGCCGTTTGCTGGATTCACAGCCCCTGATCTGCCCTGAGGCCCACCGCACACAGAAGTTTTGTGTGGATGGGGTATTTGGGAACACCCTGGACTGAATCCACCTGAATGGACGTGAGGCGGGGCAGTGCTGCAAGTGTGGCATGGAGCCACCATCACAGACTGGACTCGGGACAAGTAGGGGCTCAGAGCCACAGGCGACCTTGACATTGTAAATCCTCAGTGCCTTCCTCCCCTTCCCCTTTCAGGGAATTTGTAGAAATCTCAGGGACTTCCCAGTGGGTCAAGGCCATCTTCTCTAGATCTTAAAAGGCAGGCACACCCTGGATACATCTGAGTCACATTTGTATAATGGTGTTCCTTTCCTCCTCGATTTTGCTACCCCTCATGCTTTTCAGGAATGTAACCATAACTCTCGGTGAGGGTTGCTGTTTGTAAGGCAGTAGAGTGGGGATTCTAGAACCAGACCTGTTGGGTTTGGATCTGGGCTCTGCCACTTCTTATGTGGCCTAGAACAAGTTATTTTACCTTTCTGAACCTCAGTTTATTCATCCATAAAATGGGAGTTATAGTATTAATATTCTCCCTCATAGAGCTTTTGGGAGAATCAAATATGGACCTCACATGAAGTATGCAGAACAATTCACATAGTGTTTGAGGAATACAGTGAAGAAATAAAATGGAGTCAATACAGTCAAGCTGCTAAATTATTAAAATTAAGTAGACTGAGGCATAAGGAAACAATTATTGTTGTTTCAACGGACTCTGGGAACTTAGTTTTGAACGTTCCAATCCTGTGCCAATACCTGGTCGCATGTCAGTGCGTTGTGTGGTAACACCGGGACACGCACCAAACCTCCAGTGAGCCACTGAATGACCTCAAGGAGGAAATGTTCATTGTGCAGACCACCAGACATCTGACAAGTACCATCTTAGACCAATGCAGGGGCTCAGAGTGCAGAACTGGATGTGCCTTATACTATTAAGAACCCTCAGCTTATCTTTCTTCTTTGGAACGTGCTGTGTTTCCAGTTTGCAAAGCCTAAGGCCCTTGAGTAAATCTGTGTCATTTATATCTAGCCAGAGCCCCCTGACTCTTTTGGGTCAGTTGACAGTGTTCATTAGCTATTACTGAAGTCCCTGCCTCAGTGCCTGGTAGGAATTCAATAACTGCTATCGATGATTATTTTAAGGAGGCCCGTGGGTTCCTGACTCCTGCTCTGACCTACCCAGAGCCTTGTGTGCCTTGGTCCAAGGAGGGGCAGAGCTTTTTCTCAGGCTGCCCTGAGCCACGATGTGCCTTATGGAACATAAAAGAGCCAGGTGAGCCCCACATGGGCAGCGGCATTCGGGCGTTCTCCACGGGGGTGGGGGTGGTTCCATGCAGCTCGCGCCCTCTCCAGGAATAAACGACCCAAGCACAGACTTACTGCTCACGGGAGAATGGAAACATCGTCTTAAAGGGAAGGTGGTATTTTAATAGGCTCTATGTGATAGGAAAGGACGTATTGCTGTTCAGGTGGCGGGGGCAGAAATAAGCTCGAAATCCGGACTGGCTCTAGAGCAGGGGGAGCCGAGAAGCGCAGACTCTTCAGCACCCTGTCTTTGGCTCCGACGCCTTCTCTTCCGAGTTCTGGCTTGAGTGCACCCGGAGAACTTGTGCTTTCCCAATGAGCTCTGGGAGAAGGGGAGACACAGCCAGCAGGAGAGGATGAGGAGGGGCCAGGCCCCGAGCTGGGAGCTGCCCAGGAGACTCGGGTGGATCCCCGTCTCCACGAGGCCTCGGGCAGATGTGTGAGAGCAGAGGGAGATGCACGAGAACCCGAGTTAACCCTGCTTCTGCTCTGGCTCCGCTGGTGACTAGGAGGAGCTGACTCCCTTCTCAGAGCCTCACTACCACCCTCTTTCTACATCCAGGTAACAAATATCCACGAAGTGCCTACTCTATGCAGACACTCCTCCAGCCACTCAGGACTCTTTACAGTCCGGTGGGGGCGAATATAACACATGGCAGACACCTGTCTTCTCTCCCCTCCCCCATTCCTCTCCCCGCCTTGGTCTAAGGCACAGGGTGACTGCACAGCCTCCTTCCTCACCTCCCTCATCCTCTCCTGTCCCTCAAGGGACTGGAGGGTTATAGCAGGGCGGGCAGGACCCCTCTGGTTTCTCCACACAGAAGCCAGAGGGGTCCTGCCCATCCTGCTGTAACCCTCCAGTGCACCTCCATGTACTCTGTGTGAGACCACATACCAGGCCCACCTGTCTCATTTCTTACCACTGTCCCCAACCACAAGGCCCCGGTCACCCTGGTCTGCTTACTCTTTCACCAACACACCAGGCAGGTGGGATCCCTGTTTGTAGGGTCTCCCCCGACCTGCTTAGGGCTGAATCCTTCCTGTCGTTCAGCTCAAGGAGCCCTCTCCTCGCCTTGTTAGTCCTTACTGTCCATCAAATCGCCCTGCTTTCTTTCCCTGACAGCACCGGTCCCGCTCGGACGACTCTACTTGTCTGCACCCCCTCCCTGGCACGCAAGCTCCATGGCAGCAGGGACTTGTCTGAATTCTTCCCGTGGTCACTAGAGCCTGGCACATAGGTGCTAAATATGTTTCTGTTGAATTAATGAATGAATGAGTGGATGGATGAATGGATGAAATGAGCAGCTTCCTTGGGCAGAGACCCACCCCCAAGGAGCCTTAAATCCCCCAAGGAATCCAGCCAGGGTGGGCCTAAGTGAGCCCGCAGTGACCTGCCACATGGAATCTTACCTGGCTTTTCGCTCTTTGGTAGAGGTGGTGTCTTTGACTTCTTCGGGGATTGGCTATAACCAACAGAAAGGGAAGAAGGTCTGGGAAGGTCAGGCTGGACCACACCATAGCAGAGTGGCAGGGGGTGGGGAGGGGGGTGAGGAAGGTACTCCAGGAGGAGGTGGGAGCCAATCCTCCCTGAGAACCAGCCAGCGTCTGTGCATGGCTGGCACCACCCCAAGCAAGACCCTGACGACTGTGATTCCATTGCCTGCTGTGGCCACAGGGAACCGAGGCCCCTGTCCCAGGAGCTGGAAGGGAGGCCGCTGTTCGGGCCTCCCCCAGGCCCTCTCTTGGCCTCTTGCTTCCTGGAAGACAGGAAGCCCCGCCTGTGATCGGAGAGCGAACCTGCTTCCCGAATGAATTGTTTACAAGCATATTGTCCTGGATCAGCTTTACACTTCAGCAAGCCTTTTCGCGCACCTGACGTCATTCTCCCTACGCTCTGGGAGCGGGCTTTGGAGAGGTAGCGCTGAGGCGCACAGAGGGCGGTGTCTTGACCAAGGTCACGGTGAAGCCTGCCTTTCTCCCGTGCCGCCTCTGGCGTCCCAAAGTGGAACAGAAAACCAAACGCAGGCCCAGAGCAAGCACCCACACCTTTCACAAACTAAGTGAGCACAGCACCTGCCCCGTCTCCCCAAGCCCACCCCGCTCCCACCACCCCGAAACTTAGCCTCCCTGACGCGTGCAGTTACTGACGCCCATTCCCACACTCCCCACCGTCTTTCACTTGTTCCAATCCCACCCACCCAGCAGTGCTCTCCAAGCTCTCAGAAATATTGGGTGATGTTAAACATACACGGCCCCTGCGCACCCCCCCCCCCACCGTGCTCTGAGCCCCACGGGGCAGATACACCAGGCGAGCCTGTCTGATCCCAGCTCTTCCGCTGACCAGCCACGTGACTTTGGGTCATTCAACTGTGTCTGAGCTGTTTTCTCGTCTGTAAAAGGGAGGCGATAGGGCCTCCATGGGTGGTCATCTGGACTAGAAATATGTGAAGCGCCCAGCGACGTCAGGCCATTAACGGGCATTCAAGATGGCAGGTTCCAGGGCTGGCTGCCAGGCCCCGCTCACCTGCTCTGTAAGGCTTCCCGCCCCTTCCCTTTGCCCAACTTGGAATTAATCCCTTTCTCCCCCCCGTCCAGGGCCCTAACACCGACATAAACGTACTGCTGCCTGCCTGTGTCTTCCCAGGGACCAAGAGCTCTGGAGGGCCAGCTGAGGCTTCTCCAGCCCGTCTTGCTACAAGTGGCATCGGTCCCCCCTCGGGCATCCCCATGGCTGGCGGCTGGAGTCTGTCTGGAGAGGGGGCGCTGAGCAGCACAAGTAGCCCCGGAGGTCCCGTGGGAGGGGCTGACCTCTTCCTCCAGGGCAGCTCAGTCATCTCGGGCTCTGCCAGTGCCAGCTCCCCTCTCTGGACCCTACTGGCCTCGCCTGGGAGGACAGCTGCTGGGTGTCAGGGAGCAGTTCTTCCTGGGGAAGGGGCAGGTGAGAGGTGCGAAGCCCACCTGCAGGGTGGTTGTAGCCTCTCTTGCGGTGGTTCTTGAACTTCCTGGAGCTGGTTCAGAAGCCTTTCTGTGGAGATGGAGACGAGAGCCTGGGGAAGGAGCTGAGCCATCGCCGTCTGCAGGAGCCCCAGTGCCAAGTCTTTCTCTGTAAGCACAGCCAGCAAGCAGAGTCCTCAGGGGCACGACCCCAGCCCCATCCTGGCACTGGGTGGGACATGCAGGAAGCGGGGCCTCCAGCTCTTCTGCCCAACGCTGGCCCAGGGCAGCTTTCTCTAACCATCTCGCATTCTGTCCCCCTTCCCCCTGGCCCTGTGTGTGCTGTGTGCCCAGCCCCTCCACACCTCCCTCGTGTGTACCGTGTGCTTGGGCCACCTGCCCATCACCCCCTGGCCCACTCTGGGAAGCCCACGGAGACCTCCCCCTCTCCCCCCTCCCCCCATCAGGAAGCCTTCTCCTTCAGCTCTCCTCACCCTCCCGCTCAGACATGCCCTCTACCTCCGGCCCAGCATGTACATATACGTCCATCCATGTGTTCATGTGCAGACACATGTGTTGCTATGTGCATGTATTTGCATGTGTGTGTGCCTTTCCCACAGTGGTGGGGGAGGGACTGTCTGCTAAGTCTGGTCTTTGGGCTTGAGCCTGCAGTCAGCAGGGAGGAGAGGTCCTTTCTGAGGTGCGGGGTCATGGAAGTCCCACTGAGGAATGGGGGCAGGGAGCAGCGACGTCCAACTGGACAAAATGAGTTTGGGGCTCCAAAAAGAAGAGGCCCCGGCAGAGGCCCTGGGGTGGCAGCTGAGTGGCACGTGAGTACTGCAGAACCAGAGGACAGGGCCCTCAGCAGCCCCCACTCGGGGTGACCTGGCGGGGGGCGGCGCCTCACCCTTGGGAGGAGCGTAGAGAAGCCAGAACTGGATAGCACTCAGGGAATCTGTCTGCAGGATTTGGGAGAGCAGCTCCAAGATCTGTGGGCAGGAGGACAGGCCTGGCTCAGTGCGCTGGACGCCACGGTCCAGCCGGCAGCACATGCGCCTGCCCCCCGTGGGCTCCCAGAGCCACATGCTTGGCTAACTGGTCCCCAGATGGCCCTTGCCTCCCCTCCGCAGGGGACTGTGCAGGCTAAGGGGCTTGCTCTCCCTACAGTCCTGGAGGCAGGCTCTCAGCCTCCTCACTGAGCCGGCAAGGAATCTGACGCCGTCAGAGAGGGGGACACCTAGAAGGGAGATTGAGGCAGCACTAACTCTCAGAATCAGATATGGGGACCCTCTTCTCTGAGCCCTGCTTGGGCTGGCCATACCCCCGAGTCCCTCCCTGAGAAGGCAAAGTCAGAGCTTGACAGTCAGCTCTTCAGAGACGCACCGAATCCCAAATGCCTGAGTCCTTGATGTGGGGATTGCAGGGACCCCAAGAGCCTCCCCACCCTGAAGTTCCCAAATTCAGAGCCTGGCGATGTTAGCAAAGAGGCAGGGTGATGCCAGTGGGCTCTCTGGGGGCCGGGGCTGGCTGGTTCTGCCAACCGCTGGGCCTGGGGCTCCTTCCCGCCCCGCAGGGCTCCCGCTGTGCTGGCGGCTGCGTCCTCAGCCTCTGTGGCCTCTGCTGCTCCAGGGCCCCTTCCCCGCTGTGTTCTCCAGGCAAGGATCATTGAGACAAGACCCAGCTCTGTCTCGAAGGGGTTCTGGGGGCTCCCTAGGCCAGGGTGCTGATGGCGGCTGTGGCTACGGTTGGCTGCAGTGCGAGCCCGCGACGGGAGGTGGAGCAACGGGTGTCCTAGGAGAGTGAGGTTCCCTCTTTCAGGAGAGCCCACGCAAGTCCGTGGCGGTCCGAGGGGAACCTGGGCTAGCCTCTCCCCACGCCTATGCCTGCTAGGGCGTCCACCCCTGCCCCCAGCTACCCACCCGGTATGGTGACCCTGCCCCACTCTGCCCCAGGGTCCGTCTCGATTCCCCGCGTCCAACTTACCTGCCCTGTGCACCCTCCCCAAGGAACCCGAGAACCTACTTCCAGGCAAGGCGAGGCCGCCCTGTGGTAGAGAAAGCACTGCGTTCTAGTCCCTACCATGCTGCTCCCTTTCTGGGGACCTGGGCCACAGAATGCCGCCTGGCAGGGCCTCGGGCTCCCCGTCTGTGGAATGGGGATCCCGGGCCCTGTCTGCTCTGTTCGCTGGACTGTTTTGAAAGCACCGGTCACAGGGCAGATGTCAAGATGCTGGCTCATTGTCTGGCCTTTCCTGGAGACCATGCGGGGACTTTCAATGGCGTAACCCACGGGAACAATCCGGGGCTCATCCCAGGCCTTGATGGGGAACTGGAGTGTGGAGGAGGTGGCAGCAGACTCCTTTGAGTGTGAGGGACCAGGCTGCGGGGCACCACACACGGGGTGCAGTCTGCGGACACACCTTCATGTCTGTGCTTCTCATCCCACCCCCGCGACCCCTTCATTAACCTGCCAAGTCCAAAGCTGGAACAGACTGGAGCGATAACTTGTTTGTGCTCCCAGTTTGGCTAAATGATGGCACCAAGGCCCCACAAGGGGGAAGGGCTTAACAGAGAGGGAAAGGCCTGGAGAAACCTAAAGTAGCAGGGGTTAGACTCCCGGCTTCTGAGCCCGGGTCTGGGGTTTCGAGCCTTACGGTCTTAGGTGCCAGTACTCCCAGAGAGGCCACACTTCCAGCAGTTTGAAAGAGTCCTGTTGGGATTGTCGTGAGCCTGCAAGTGATACCACCCTGTTCTCTGCCCCGAGACTAGGGCCGAAGCCCTGCCTTCCCGGAGTCTCACCAGCAGCTCCTGATCCTGCAGGACAAAGGTCTGGGGTCCTTCATCCCTGCCTGAGGAGTAGTTCCCTCGGCCCTGGTGGGAGCAGCGGCGGCCGAGGGCTCGGGCGGAAGCAGGGATGAGCCTCCCAGTCTCTGCTGAGTACTTTGCACCCTGCTCCCGCTGAGGCTCCTCCTGCTGGAAGAAAGGTGGCTAGAGACTCGGGGTGGGGGGCGGGGGGAGGGAGAGAGAGAGGGAGGGAGGGGGGAGAGAGAGAGAGAGAGAGAGAGGGAGAGAGAGAGAGAGATGGCAGAGGGGACGAGAAGGGAAGGGAAGGGAAGGGAAGGGAAGGGAAGGGAAGGGAAGGGAAGGGAAGGGAAGGGAAGGGAAGGGAAGGGAAGGGAAGAGGAAGAGAAGAGGAAGAGAAGAGAAGAGAAGAGAAGAGAAGAGAAGAGAAGAGAAGAGAAGAGAAGAGAAGAGAAGAGAAGAGAAGAGAAGAGAAGAGAAGAGAAGAGAAGAGAAGAGAAGAGAAGAGAAGAGAAGGAGGCTGGGTCACGTCTCCAGGGTGCCCATCACCTCTTTTCCTGGAACCTCAGCATCACAGCACTGCAGGGACCCAGGATGTCAACCAGGCCAGCCCACCCTGTCCTAGGCCCCTCTCTCCAGCAGGTGCCCTTCCATTATAGTCAAAGCTCTTTCTCCTGGAAATTTATTGAACGCTGGCCACCCACCTACTCCCCCACCCCTCCCACCCACCATGGGCCTGGGCAAGTCCCCCCTGCTACTCCTCCCTCCCCCCAGCCCATCAAAGATTCGAAAACAGTAGTCTGTGCCAACCCCCCACCCCCCCCTACCTTAAATCCTAGTCCAGCTGCCCCCAGGTCTGCCTCCCAGAGCTTGGCATCCTTTCTTAACCCTGGGAAATCCTTCTAAGTCAGGCCTGTGGGCACAAGGCCTGGTGCCTCTAGACCCTGCAACTCCAATTAAACTTGTAGTAGCCCTCTTCCCATTTTAGCGATAAGAAAACTGAGACACAATTTAACTGAGTTGTCCTGAGAGCTGCAGGGAGTTAGCGGCAGAGCAGGGAGGAGACACAGCGCAGGATGAGACTCGTCCACAAGGGCCAGGCGTGTTCTAGGACCGGTTCCAACCACCTCTGAGTTGCCTCCCACTTGTCTTTACTGGTCAGCAAATAGCACCCATGAGGCCATCCCAATCCTATTTAAAAACCTTCAGCGACTCTCCCCTCCTTGTGAGATTAGACACTATGCTAAATTTAGAAATTAGAACAATCTGGTCTTGCCCACACTCTAAGCCAGCCCCTTCCCACCTTCTCCCCGACTGCTGCCCACTGTGCCCTGCCCTTCAGCTCCCCGCTCTCCAAAGATGTCCTGCGTTGTCCAGCTTCTGCGCCTTTGTGCTGCGTGCCTCCACTAGGAGCCACCCGCCCACTCCGGAACTAGGACCCCTTCTAGGATTTCCCCACCTGACACTGTCCGCTCCTCGGAGCCCTCCCTGTGGCCCTCTCCCTGCGGTGGGTGTCTGCCTGGCCCCCTGCCCCAGTGCCAACAGCAGCACCTCAATGAGCACTTGCTCTTCTGCTGGTCAGGTTGGGAGGGATTTCCTGACAGAGGATGATCCATTTCATCTGTTCCCAGGCAGCTCCTTTGGTCTGCACCCACCTCTTTGTTCTTCAGCTCATTTTCCCTGGGGGAGATGACCAGCTGGGAAGCCAAGTCCTTCAACTCCTTCTTCCAGGTCTCTGGGAAGGGGACAAGATCTGGCCACCGATGTCTGGGCCCCTCCTCCTTGCCCTCCCTGTGGCACTGGTGTTGGGGGCTGCAGGTGGGAGGGTCTCCTCTCTCCCAGCCTTCCACCTGCATCTTAAAGGGGGAGGGGAGGCAGTCCCTTGGGGGAAGGGTTAGGAATTGCCCCATCGATGGGCAGGAGAGTGGGTGTGGAGGGGCGGTCGATGCCCTCGCCTGTGGCTTTATGAGAGACACTGGAGAGCATCTGGTTATTTGTGCCAAGATGAAAGTGGTTTCCAGCTTTGCCTCTTCCAGGAAACTGAAGCCAAGACTGAATCAGTCGCTTTTCTGTGCCAATTACTAAAATATCGAAGCACTCCTGGAGGAGGTGGTACAGCGCACTGCCCAAGCCTTCCAAACCTCTGGGTCCTGCGGGCTGTCCCAGTCCCTGCCCAGCCCCCAACAGAAGGGGAAGCGGGCGGAGCAGGGCCCCGAGCCCTGCAGCAGTGCCATGGACCGGGCTGTGCTGAGGGCTGGGGCCCGCATACCAGCACTAACGATTCCCAGCGTCATTCCTGTCTGTAGCTGTAAGTCACATGACTTGCCCAAATCTGCTTGTCCTCTGCTTGTGGCTACTCCTCAAACACCTCAAATCCAAGCAGGGGCACATTTCTGAGGACCTCGGGGGTGGGGAATAATGCAGATGCAGATGCCGGAGGAAATAAGGGGAAAGATGAGTTACCTGACCGGATCCCATTCCTTCTCAGGCACCGCACCCCCTAAGCAGGACAGCCCTTGGACAAAGGTGTAACCCTAAGGCAGAGCCTCTGTGGCCCAAGTACTCACCAGAAGAAAGCCGGGGATCCCGATTGGACTGCGGGTCCCCAATGGGGACAGCGGCGGTGGGCACCCCCATCAGATAGCCGGATAAGAGTGCCGTTTGAGGCAAGAGAACCCGAGAGAACTCGTCCTTGACGACACAGATGGACTTCCCGGAGAGATCTGTGAAGGCGTAGAGGCTGTGGGAAGGGGGCCTGGGTGGACCCCAAGAGTTCCAGGAGGCTGGGCAGGGAGAGCACTGGCCCCCTTCTCCCAGTAACCATAGTCCATAGCCCGGGGGCCCCTGCGGCCTCCCAGACCTTACTCCCAGAGACACTCCGAGTGGACAGTGCGGGGATGTGCCCAGGGTCAGCAGCAAGGCAGGCTTCCCGAGACCCTAGTCCTGGGTCCTGTTGGCTTTCTATGACAGAGCAGTGACTGCAGGTGTGAGCAGACACAGGTAAGCAGCCTAAAGAGGGGCACCTGGGCGTGGAGGCAATAAGCCATAGTCCGCAATGAGTGGGGCCTGGCTCAACTCACAGGGAGGGAGAATTAGCTAAACTCTGGATGAAGCGCTTTGCCATTTGTCAGCCTGTGCAGGGCTGAGTGCGGGGCACCCTGGGGGTGGTGGCAGACAGCTAACACAGGAGGACCCTTCGGCCTAAGGTCCATGTGATATATACCAGGCAGCTGAGCTTTGTGGACCAGCCTGGGACAGAATGGTCCCTCACTGTCTCCTTCCTGAAACATTTCCTTTTGGGCCCCTCACTCTCCCGGCTCGTCCCAGCTCGCCAGCCACTCCTCGTTTCTCTGCTGCTTACTCCTCTCGACCTCGGAGCCTCGGGTCCCTGGCCCAGTCCCCGGTCTCTCCTCTGCCGTCCAAGCACACACTCAAACACCATCCACACCCGAACCACTCATGTTTGCATCTCTCCCCTGAACTCCAGCCCAACTGCCTCCTTGGTTCCCCCCTCACCCCCGGATATCTTAAGGGTCCTCACATTTAGCATCTCTCGTGCCCCAGACCAAACTCCTGACTCCTCTCTTATCCGCCACTGTCCCTTCTGGAGTGTTTTTGTCCCAAACTACCAACTCCGGTTTTCCAGTAACTCAAGCCAAAAACCCGGGAGTCAGCATTGACCCCCTCTTCCTCTCATACTCTCTCTCTTTTTTAATCCTTACCCTAGGATATTTTTCTATTTATCTTCAGATAGAGTGGGAAGGAGAGAGAGACACACACACATCGACTGGTTGCCTCCCGCACAACCCTGACCAGGGCTGGGGACGAACCGCAACCAAGGTACGTGCCCTTGGCCAGAATCGAACCCGTGACTCATTGGTCCACAGGCCGACGCTCTACCTCTGAGCCAAAGCAGCCAGGGCTCACACTCTATTTGTAATCAATCAGCAAATCCTGCTGGCTTTATGTTCTGTATATCTCTAGGGCAGAACCACCAACTCTCCCACTACTGCCTCCCTGGTCCAAGCCACCACCAGACAGAGGCCAATAGACCACTCCCGACCTTCGTTGCTCTCAGCTTTCCAGTGGTTCTCCTCTGACTCAGTGAGATGGCTTAGTGATGACTGCAGTGACCGCCACACCCCCACTGCCCCTCTGCTTCATCTCTTCTCCCCCTCCTCACTCTGCCCCAGCCACACTGGCCTCCTTGCTGTTGGGCCATTACGCCTGCTGTTCCTCTGCCCTGGACATTTCCCCCAGTGGTATCCACACGGGGATTCATGCCCTCTCTTCTTTTAGTTCTTTGCTCAAAAGTCATGCTCTTGGTCAGCTCTCCCCTCTGGGGTCTTGGCACTTACCACGCTCAGACACCTTGTCTATTTCCTACCCTTCCCCACCGGAGAGTCAGCTCCATGAGGACAGGGACTGTCAATTCCCAGGATCTAAGAAAGTGCCTGACTCATAACAGTTCATGCTCAGTAGGTACTTGATGGATGAAATGACCTGCGTCAGCGAACAGAGTGCGACTCTGAGGAAGAACCTTCATCCCTTTCTCTAATTTGTAAGATGGGAGAATCGGCAGCAAGGGAAATCCTATAGGCACCTGTAGTCTGCACTTGGAGCCTGCCCCCAAATCAAGTCTGGGCTTGGCCAAGTGCTTGCAAGTGGCCAAGTAGCTCTGTGACCCCGGCCAAGCAAGTTCCCATTCTCTCTGGGCCTCAGCCTGGAAACGGGCTGGGTCCTGCCTCTCCAGGTTTTAAGACTGCCTCCCCTTCCACCGCCCGCCAGGCCCTACCTTGAATGTGGGTCACGTGCTGGGGGTGGGGGTGATGCCGGGAGAAGAAAGAGTGGTGGCTGAGGCGGCCGAAGCGGTAGGTGCTAGGGTTTTGGGACTTGGGGGTCCTCAATTCCTCTCGGGTCACCTTGAAATCCACAGTCCCTGGGACCATCAGTTCTTTCTGTGGCCCATCGACTCCATGGCTTCCTGGTCTGTGCCTCTCAGCCTTCGGCTCAGCCCTTGGACTGAAGAAGAGGGTCAAGGAGAAGCTAATGAAGCCCCCTGGCAGCAGTGCCCGCCTGGGCTCATAGCTCGTAGCTCAGGGGTTTGCACAGAGTCCATTCCTGAGATACTCTGAAATGCACCTTTCAGGGCCTCTCTACCACCCCTCGGCCTCGAAGCTGAGCCTCCCACAGGTCTTCTCCCAAGTGGGACAGTTCAGTCCCAGGGAGGCGTCTGTCTTCCTAAGGTGCCTTCGCAGGGAGCTAGGATCCATTTGAGAAAACTCAGATGGAATTCCCCAGGATCCCAGTTTACTCTCAGAAACCATCTCTAAAGCCAGAAAGAGAAGCTATAGACCCACCTACTCATCCAAATACCTGGCCTAGAGCAAAGGCACATTATATACACCTCCAGAGCCAGAGTGCTGACCCCAGCAATGGTCTCTCCCCAAAGCCAAACTATTGGCAGCCCAGGAGAAGCTGTACAGGCTGCCCCGCCCCCCATCAGGGGCGTCCCGAGCTGATGCGGCAGCTTTCAGAGCTGCGACGCTGCATGAAAGCTTCAAACTCTTGCTTCGCTTCACTGGAGACAAGCTGTCTCAGGTTCTCTGTCCTCCGCCTTGCACCCCTTTCCTCTCCTGAGGGTGCTGTGCCTCTGCCCCTGGAGGAGGAGGTTGAAGTCGGTCCAGCAAGGATCCAAAGGTGGGTTGCTCTCCGCCTGGTGCCTGGTGGGACCACCTGCCTGCTCGCTGTCTGCTTTCCCTTCTCCGGGTGGCCCTGGCTGGAGGGAGTCCCTCTGTGGCATAGATGGGCGTTAAGCAAGGTGTTCTGCTTCAGGACCCTCTGAGGATTTTGCTGACCAGGCCCCTGGATTTCCTGTTCCGTGCTCAATTCTCCTCTAAGGGATCTGGGACTTAAAAAAAATAAGGCAAACTTTCTCTGAAAGTCAGTTAGCTGGCCTCCCCTAACCCCAACGAACAGAGAAGGTCATCCCCTGAAAATCCCTGGAATCTCTGTGCTCAGTGGGCCTGGTCCCTGCCCCCACTCACTCTCCCCGCCCAGAGAGGGGTTCCACCTGTGACCTGTGGCACCTCAGCCCTGAGAACCCATTGGGGGCCTAGATGAGGGCAGTGGAAGGTGAGGAAGGACTACCTTTCTTGGCCCCTCAGTCTGTTGAGTTCCCCGGAGGCCCCCTTGGGCCCCACCACCTCCTCCATCAGCGGGATAGGCATTTGGGGCCTCACCTCAGCAGTGCATGTTCAGCCAGCTGGGTCCTTACCTCCTCAGCCATTGTACGATTCTAACAGAATAAAGATCAGTGCACTTAATACTAGAGTTGAAGATGGATATCAGGACCTCTCATAGACTGGCAGAGGGAATGTAAACTGGAGCAGATACTTCAGGAGAAAAACATTGGCAATATCTTGTAGAACTGAACATTGGCATACCATATCACCCAGCGAGTCTTCTCCCGGGGGTACACCCAAGAGCAACCCTTGCAAATGCACCACTGGGGTTATTTGAGAGAATAGTCAACGTAACATGGCCCAGATTAGTACAAACCTGGGATAACTCAAATACCCAATGGCAGACACATGGGTAAATGAGCTGTGGTACATTTAGACAATTGAAAATTATATTGCAATTAAAATGGATGAACCACAGCTACACACAACAACATGGATCTTACAGCTATAACGTCGAGACAAGGAAAGCCAGTGGCAGAAGACCATGTAGCCTGAGATCCTTATAAAAAATAAAAGGCAAGCCCTGGCCGGTTTGACTCAGCAGTTGGTGTGTTGGCCTGTGGACCAGAGAGTCCTGGGTTCGGTTCCCGCTAGGGGCATGTACCAAAAAAAACAAAAACAAAACAACAACAAAAAAAGAAAAGCAAGGACATGTTAAATACAAAATTCAGCTACTGGCTATTTCTGAGAGCAGGTGGGGAGGAGAGGGTTGGGAGAAGAGCACATAAGATGTTTTTTGTTTGTTTTTTTCTTTATTGATTTTAGAGAGAGAGGAAGGGAGAGGGAGAGAGAGATAGAAACATTGATGAGAGAGAACTTCGATTGGCTGCCTCCTGCACTGGGAATCGGGCCCACAACCTGGGCATGTGCCCCGATCAGGAATTGAACCAGTGACTTCTTGGTGTGTGGGTCGATGCTCAACCACTGAGCCACACCAGCTGGGCAGCACACATGAGACGCTTTAGTGGAGATATTCTAGTTCTTGTTTGAGAGGTGCATTTATTGGCATCCATTATATTATTAAATAAACTAATTAAATGACATGGATGAAAGATGATAGGTAACAAAGCCAAGAATGGTGACTAATCTAAATCTATGGACCTGAATGTATATACACATACACATATAGCCAAAATGCTGGTTGCTCAGGTGCCCGCGATGGGGTTGGAAAAGGAGGTCAGTGCATTCTGAGAACTAACCCTGAGAATTAGAGAATCTGCAAGGGATTCCAGAGACTGGCCCAGGGCCAGCCGTTCAAGTTTGGGTGGAGGAGGGGGCAGGATTGCCTGAGATGGTGGAAGGGGAGAGACTTTGAGGTCACACAGCAAGGAGCCAGGCGGCCTGACTGAGAGACTCCTGATCTTTTCTCTAAAGGGAAAACAGCGGGCAGAGCTTCCTTTGGAGGAAGCTGTGGACATCACGGGTGACAGAGGCTGCGCTCCAGAACACTTAGGGGCTGCAGGCTTGAGAACGGGGCTTTTGGAAGCCCCAAATGCACCTGCCAACAGGAAAAGGTAGTTTTTAGAACAGAGACTTCCAAATGCTCTTGACTGTGACCACAATAGGAAACATTTTTACACCATGACCCAATTCACATACAGGTGCTCACGCTTGTGGATGTGCAACCGAAGCAAGAATATCCTGAGGCAACACTTACCCTTCTGCGTGTGATGTGCACTGATATTTTCCCATCCTACTTGTTTGCATTTTTGAATGTTAGATGTGATCCATTAGGCTGATTGTAGAAGACGCTAATGGATCATACACAGCTGCTGCAGCGAGGCCTGTCTTTCCTCCCCCTCCCCCTCCCCCGGCCCCCTGCCCACCAGGCACAGGAGTCTGAACCTCGCATCAGTCCTGGTTCAGAACTTTCCTTTCCCCATCTTGGCCCCTCTGGGCCCTCCCCTGGGCCCGTCTGGCTCTGGTGTTCGTTTCCTCCCCTGGACTCACCGAGGCAAGTGGGTGAGAAGCCCCTGTTGCCTAGGCAGGCAGGAGCAAGAGGACAAAGGGAAGACTTGTGGGTTCTGTGGACAAGACTGTCTGCTTTGTGACTGCATAAGCCAGTGGTTGCTAGGTTACCCCTTCCCCACAACCACTCCCCAGCACCCCTCTCCTCACCCCCACGCAGCTCCTCTTACCCCTTCTGGAGGGGCAGGCGGGGCTCACCGAAGACCAGCTCTCCCTCCAAGCTCCCTCTGCACCTCCCATTCAGGGCTTTCAATGGGGACTGAAGGGGAGAAAGAGGGTCAGGCGTTGGTTTCAGCCAGTGAGCAGCAGGCAGAGGGAAATCCTGTCAAAGTTGGTGGGGCTGGGCCCAGCTTTGTCAGCCTGACTGGGCCAAGTGCCAGCATGGAGGGCCCAGTCTCCACGCGTCTTGTTTCCGGAGATTGATTGGCAGAAAGCTGTCTCTCAGATGGAGAGATATGACCTAGCGTATCCCTCTAGCCCCACCCTAGGCAGGATCGCTGGATGGGAAGCTACTGGGTTTTCAGTGGGGCAGGGGTTTCAAACGGATTCTGACACTCTCTAGATGTGTCACATGAGTAGGTGGCCTGTACTGCCAGACGCGGAACAGTGGTAAGAACGCTTGGTTCAAATCCCAGTTCTGTGACTTCCTAGCTGTGTGGCCTCAGACAATGTGCCGGCTGTCTCTGAGCCTCAGTTTCTGTGTCTCTGAAATGGAGATGATACTTCCACCTATTCTCACAGATTGCTGGGAAGACTGAGTGATTAATGTGCATCGAAGTGTTTAGAACAGTGCCCGGAACCAAGTGTGCCTCTTACTGCTATTACCTTCTCTGGGCCTGTAAAATGGGGTACGCTCACCTAGTGCTGGGGTCCTCCTGAAGGACAATTGAGCTGATGGAAGTGAAGTACCTATATAACTATATAGGTACTTATGCCTGGAGCATAAGAGATGCTAACAAATGGACATTCCTATCTTTATTATCGGTGTCCTGATGAGGCAGGACTATAAAGTGGGGCAGGTCTGTCGCCCGAGAACCGCTTTAGGTAACTAGTTCTCTGAGGCTCAGCTTGGACCTCCGTGAAATGGGGGTCAGGGTCGTGCTCAGTGGGCAGGGCTGTGGCGAGGTCAGGGCTGCGAGGGTGCAGACAGGTTCTGTGAACCACAGACAGGTTTGCACGTGGTGCTTGACGCTGTCCTAGCAAGGAAGCCTCTGGGCCCCAGAATTGATAGGGGTGGGCCTACTCAAGGGTCTTCACCCTCACTGCCCCTCGCTTCACAGCGGCCTGGTGCTTCTGGATGTGTCTTCCTCTTGGGGAGGAATTAGAGGAAGGAGGACAGCAAGAGGCAAGCCCAAGTTTTTCTGCTGAGGGGTGAGGATTCATACCATTGTAGGGGCACGTTGGGGAGTGACCTCTGATCTTGTCCTTGTCCTAAATGTTTCTCCATCCAAATAAGTCAGAATGTTCCTCATTTGAGCTCTGGCTTCTCCTGGGCCTATCTAGGCAGGAAGGAGGTGACCCCTTTGAAACCATCCTGAAAGCCCCCTCTTCCATGCTTCTGGGAATGCCGGTGACTGTTATGATGAATAACACTATGTTTGAAATAGAAGAGGGCTTTCTTCCCTCCTGACCAGCCCCTCCCTGTTGCTTTGAGCTCACTGGGGGATCCCCACGGGGGATCTCCACCGATGCAGCTGAGAGGATAGGATGGTGCTTTCACCCCCTTCCCCCCACCGCTGCACCTCCGAACCCTTCTGTGGTGGTACTGAGAGCCAGGCGCCTGGTCTGCATCTGATTGCAGCTGGGGGGACACAGGGGAGACCTTAGGGACTGCCCTCGACACTGCTTTGTAAGGATTGTAAAAGAAATGTTGAGGAAACCTTTCTGACATCTTTCTTTGTGGAGTGTCAAACAGGAGACAGATTTGTCTGCTTGGCAATGGTTAGAAGTATAGTCCTCCTGCCTGGATGCCTCATTTATAAGAGGAGCCATACACAATTTTATGGAGTACTTCCCATGTGCCAGGAACTGGGCTATAATGCCTCGGTTAACCTTACAGATGCGGGAGAAATCCTTAGTTACATGTGCTGCTTGCTCTTCTGTCTCCACATGCGGCCATTTGAAGCAGAGAAACTCCTAGTTTAAATAGCTCAATTTATTAATCTCATCCTTAAAGATTAGTGGTGTTTGTGTCCTATTTAAAAGATCTTTGCCCACCCAAGGTTATCTCTTGTGTTATTTTCTAGAAGATTTGTTGTTTTACCTTTGGATATCAATCTGGGTTTGATTTTTATATATTGTGTAAGATATGGGTCAAGAGCCATATTTTTTTTCATAAAAATATCCATTTGATCCAGCACCATTATTTAAAACACTGTTCATATCCTGCTTCTCTGCAGACTCATCTTTATCAAAATTCAAGCGTCCATACATGTGTGGGCCAGTCTCTGGACCCAGCTTTTCCAGGGCTCTCTGTTTACCATCCCGCCCTTGCTACAGTCTCTTAATAACTCATTTTAAATGCATCTTGATATCTAATGGGGTAAGACTTTGTCAGGGAAAACTCATGTGCTCCTCCACTCTCAATACTTCTAACACCAAGTATGTAGGAGTTTTTTACACATCCAGCAATTCCCCATTTCAGCAGACACCAGCGGGTGTTCTACCAGGTTCACTCAGTTCTGACTCTCTACCTAGCATTCGACCCCTCAGGTTAGGGGCCCAAGCCCACAAGACTGCCCCCATTTCAAACACCAGTTGCAAGTGCAAGTTGCTACCTGTACTTCTGACTGACCAGTTATAAATGGGGTTCCCATGACCCCTCCTGGGGGTTTGCTAATTTGCTGGAATGGCTCACAAAGTTCAGGGAAACATTTGCTTATGTTTGCCAGTTTATTATACAGTGTTCAGATGAGTAGCCAGATTAAGGGGTACAGAGGGCAAGGTCCAGAAAGGTCCTGAGTGCAGGAGCTTCTGTCCCCATGGAACTGAGGTGCACCCCGCCCCCCCCCGCCCCGCGCGCCCGTGGATGCATTCACCATTCTGGAGGCTCTCCAAACTCTGCCCACCCCTTTGG